CGTGTTTAATTTTTTGATGATCAGCCGATACAAAAATCGTTCATGAACCCGAAAATGGATGGAGAATTCTTTTTGAAAATTACTTGTTGCCGTGCTATCGTATTCACTTCAGTATGTCGGTTGTCTGAGTCACACAACTGGTTCAAATGCGTCGAATGGGGGCTCAGTTGAAAACAGTGATCAAAATCATGTGAACATCAGAAGTACTTGAACTAGACCATCGATATGTTCACATGATTTGGAGTTGTACTGAGAGAAGCAGCACAGAATGATATCAGATCTCAATCGATAGGATCACATAAAAATAAAGTCTCGGAATTTCGAATGAAAAACTGCTGAATAGGTGTTTTCAGTATCTCGAAAGGAAAATGGTGTCCTCCTCATTTACCTCAGCTTGTATCACCGGTTGAAAAAAATATTCGAATTTGATATTTTCGTGTCAACTGAACTTGATGTTTTCGAGCTGAGTCAAAATCGAGTCATCGAAATGAATTGTTTGTTTCTGTTTGGCATAATGGTTCCCAAAATACACTGAAGCGCTTGGCTGAAACGCTCATCGTGAGAGGATCAGTCAAAATAAATTAACTTCACACTCAAAGTAAACTGACTTCACACTCATCTCATCTTGAGTTATAATTATATGAATTATACATGAAAACATTTGTTACAGATAAACATGTTTTCGCAACACACATAGGCGCTTTCCTTCTATTTGGAGGATTTTATTGCTCGCACGTGTTTCTATCATGGATATCACCTAGGAACACTGGTTTCCTTGCTGCTACAATGTTTGCGGATGGAACTCATTGCCTGCTAGTGTATAGAGTGCCGTTTACTTCCTCACGCGTCTCGAACAAGTGTGGATGAATGAAATTGAATTCACATCTAAAATCAGTTAATTTTAACACAGATTTTATTGACAAATAATTATTTGTTGAAATCTTGTATTGTTTTCATTATATTCATTAATGTGTGATACTTATTAATAGTTTCATTTAAATACGATGATATTTCATTCAATTAACTGCTTGATCTGCTTTTGTTGTTTTATTTTAATGATTAATGTC